TTAACCTTTGAACAAGGAACAAGGATTATTGTAATACCAAGTAAGTGAGAAGTGAAGAATTTCATATATAAACACTAACAACTTAACTTCCATTTCCAAGGTTCAGCTTCTCATATCAACCCAATTTTTCTAATTACACTTCCACATGCTTATTTTTTAAGCATTTAATTTGTCTGAAGGTTTAGGAAATCTTGTTTCTGTTCTGGTGAGTATCCATAAGACTGACAAATATTTCAATATTGATTTTTCTTATGTCAACCCCATGGCCTTCACAAATGTACTGTTACAAGGGCAGTGGTGTGCAATGATTCCAAGTCTTTTTTGTTAATTTAAAATTAATATTTTAGCACAATAATTGTTGCAGAGAAACATTGCAGTGCTAAATACTCATTCTTTTTGTATCTATGCTTCATCTGAAATATCTTAAATAGAAAAAATAGTGAAATGTAAAAGTTGTTTGCTTTTATAGACCCAAAATATATACTGATGCAGATAGTGATGTATTAATTGATGCCATTTGTGATAAGATTTGGTTCAGCAAAATTTTAACCAACAAAAGTAAATTTTTGTGGATACAGTCATCAGCACAGCAAGACATTTTGCTTCATACTGTCTCCTAAATATTTTTGGAAAGGCAATATCTAACTCTGTCATTCAGCTGTGATTTGGAATCTGTTAAATTCTTCCTGTAATGGTTTACACAGAGCTTCTTGTCACAGTGTGATTAATGGTTATGGAAAGTTCACTTTTTGTGCAGGAACTCACTTGTTTGTGCTTCCAAGTAAGTCTTCCAGTAAAAATACACATCTCAGACCATGGTGTTTCAGCACATCCTAGATCCAGTGAGAGTCCATTCAACGCGACTCAGGTTTCTCAGCAGAGCTAGATGCAGAAATGTTTTTGTGCTTTGGTCATCGACATCTTCTCCCAGAGGGTGTACAGACTCATCAGATGAATTCAGATTCATCCGAGAAGTGTGTCATAGTATAAATCAGACAGACTAACTTCAAGTTTGTGTTAAATTCTTTTCTGCCCTTGCAAGTTCAATGAGGTACTTTTATAAAGGAATTTGTATTCAAGACCTTCAGGCCAGGTTTTTTACTTCCAAGCTAATAGCCGATAAAGCCCGCAGACTTTTTCAGGGGCTATGAGACAAGTAGCTACTTATTTCCTACCTATTTTGAGACTTTAGCAATGCTAAAGTTGAAAACTGCTGCATTGGCTGTGCGAGCTAAGTAATTAAGAAGCCATTGTAAGTTTGTTGGACTTCCCTTTTAGGCCCAGATATTCGAGCTACTTAAAATGTTATCTTGTTCTACTAGGTTGATTGCCTTCATTGTCTATTGAATACCCATGATAAAACGGTCATTTGTGCTGCTGTTGAGGTGCAGATATACCTGAGAAACAGAAATCAGTAAAGCAAAATGAACTTTCTTCTCACTTAGTAGAAAGAAATCAGAACAACCTTTCGTTAATAGGAAAGAAATTTCCAGTTTGCAGTTTTAGTTTAAAGAAAATATCTGAGGAGAAAAGGAAGAAAAACAATCCAGACAGCATTTCCCATAAAGTATTTATCTATATATGACTGGGATTTTTTTTCCATTTTGTACTATGAAAGGCACAACTTTTTGTTAATGGTCAGGGCCTGGGACTCACTAGGATGTTTTTAGCCAAGAAATTCTTAAGTTCAAACTTCAGAGTTGATTTTTGTAGAAGACTCTCAGGTATTGCAAATGTAGGAGGAAGAAAGCAGATATTTGGACAGGGGACACGGTTAGTTGTGACACCAAGTAAGTTTAGTCTGGTTAACGACACTCAGCATTTTTTACCTGTGCCTCTTCATACTCTTCAAGATGTGGAGATCTATATGGCTTTCAAGATAAAGTGCAGAGGGAAAGAAATTGAAAGCTGAGTTTAAATCATAAGACAAATACTCAGTGGTATTAAGCAATTTATTCTAATAAGTGTATGTTTTCACATAAGAAATCGAAGTTCCTAACATGTTCTTCTGGAAGCTGATTAAAGGCCAGGGGGCCTAGAATCAGTAGGGTAAATTGATCAAATTTACTGAAGGACATGAAAATACCATTTGAAAGGCCAATTTCATTTGGTCTGAATTAAAGGCAAAATGCATCTGAAGTTTTCCAGAGCTATTTTGGAAATGTACCCAGCTCATGTTATTGGTCCATAATACCAACCTGTAGAGTGTCATTTGTCTTCAGTTGTTACAATCTCAAATATTGCAGGAATCTTACACTTGGTTTTCCTGCCTATGCTATGTAGGGGTCAGGCTAAATAACCTTAGTAAGTCCTGATTCTTGATTTGTGATCAGAATGGTATTCCTGTCAGATTTTTCCTTAGATTCATACGTGAGAAATTGTGTTTCTGCTGAATTCTGTGACAAGCATTTCTGTTTTCCAAAGGGCAGAAAATACTGGAGGTGAGGGGGTGGGATGCTGGTAAAGTGATATGTAGAAAATTATAAGAGGAAACCCAAGGTTTTCTTAGTAAGTGGGTGCAACAATGTGTAGGTTAATTCAAGTACAGATTTGACTTGTCTGGATCCTGTTCAAAATAGAGTGAGTGATTTATGCCCTGATGAGGTGCAAAAAGGAGGACTTTGTGGGGTTGCATTCATGATGTCTTCATTATTGCATTTCTAAAAACCATACATAAACAAGTCATCCACTTAAATATATATGGGTCCACACAGTTTATGCAGTGAATAGCTGAAATGTGCATACCCATCACTGAAATTCATTAAGAGTATGGTTAATTATTTGACTGCAAGGGCAAGTTCTCTTTCTTTCTCTCCCATAAGATAAAATAAAAATATATAAAATATAAATTTTAGTCTGCCTGTAAGATCTGAACTCTTAGTGAGGTACAAAGAAAGAAGGGAATCTCCTTCTGTATGCATTGCTTCTAGGGCTGAAACGAAAGTGTGGCTGGAACATTTAGTGTAAAGACAGCAGCAAGAAAAAGTAGGGGTTTTTTTGCAAGATCTGATAGTGATAGCTTATTGAGAGAAGCTGTTATGTGAGAGAAGGCTCCTTCTTACAGTAATTACAATGGAATGTTCCTACTCACACGAAGAAAGGAAAGTGTAAATCAGCATGGAGGGCCAGAGAGCTGTGACAAATCTTTCCCCCAGCTACAGAATTGTCTTGTTTCTCAAGCTGCTTCAGCTTCAGTGTTCTATGGTAGAAAGAACAGTTACAGACAGTATAAACGAATGGATTTTCCTTGTGCTTTTCACATTTAACCATTTTGGAGGGTACCTCAAGGTTAACCCATGTGTGGAATTACATGAGCAAGAAACAAAGGGAGAAGCTGGCTCTTCAGAGATTTGGGAGGTCTCTGCCCTATCAAAAAAAAAAAAAAAAAAAAAAAAAGGCAATTTAATATGCATTAACAGAAAGAGAAGAGCCTGCAGAAGTTCTGTTCCTGTGAAATACTGGACCAGGCATCCGAGACAGATATTCTGACTGTCCAGTTATATCTTCCTCTGCAAAACTGTGCAGGACTGGGACATGAAGTGCTTCTAGTAATGTTTCTCTCTCTTCACCAAGGCATGGCTTTGAAAAGTGTTAAGTGTGTGATTTCTGTAGAGAGGGTCTTAGCTTATTCCTGGCTATGCCAAAGCATCTTATGTTCAGGGCACTTCATCTTTCTTGACCTCTAAAAAGTATTGACACGAAAACTGCCAGGAGACAGAGAAGACACAAACCAGACTTCATTTTGTGGGAATATCTAACAGGCATTTTGCACATATATTTTTATTTTGATGAGTCCCCTGCCATGAAACCTGAAACATGCAGAAGAGCATGGCTTTTTTTTGTAATGGAGCTTTTGACAGTGTGTATTCAGGAAATGCAGCCAGACTCATCTTCAGAAGAGGAACCAGGCTGCTGATAAATCCCAGTAGGTATCTCTTCATCAACATGGTTAGGAAAGACAGAGTGCTTTTGTCAGATCCTCCTTAAAATACAGAGGGAAGAGCTTCTTTAAAATAGGAAAGAAAGAGGAAAGAGGTCATTGGGAAGAAGAGCACATTCTGAACAATTAGCTTGTAACTTCTCTTGTCATGTTGATGTCAGTGGAACAGATGGGAATGACTATTGTTCTGCTAAAATCGGTGAATGACCTTTGCTTTGTGCAAGCACCATGTTAGTCAGGATTGAGCCTGTAGCGAAATATATTTGAGATTAGTGTTCATGAACAACCTTTGCTTGCTCAAAAATTAGGTGAATCTGGCTTCTGGGACTTAGGTTTGGATCCTTTACTGGGTTCATTGCCAACTGAATAAAGAAGAAAGATTAGGACCTTAAATTGGTTTTCTCTGGGAACTTCTTTCTATTTATTTGTTCTTGGCTTGTTTCTCTTATGAGTCAGGTCCATTGCTCAGCTTCTGAGGTTGATTAGCTGGCTGATCTGTCTAAACTCCTTCTTTAGACCACAAGAAGTTTTAGAAACAGCTGTGTTAGTTGTTTAAAAACATGGTGGAAATTTCATCCCACTTTGATATGTCTTAAAGCATCTTCTGGCTTTTAATGGCTGAGGCTTCTCTCCTTTACAATTTTTGTATAAAGAGTTATTACTGTGGGACAACTGATTATTCCTGGAGACTCTCCTTTGGGAGAGGCACAAAACTAATTATGAAATCAGGTGCATCTTAAAACAAATAGTTGTTTTGCATTATAAATGCAAGGCTGAGATTCTCCTGTCCTCCTAAATATGGCAAAAAGTGTTCTACTTAAAACCTGTCCAAGGAGCTTCAACTGCATTGTGCTGACAGGGTAATGGCCTTGATTTTCTACTTCATGCATTTCAAAATTGTTTCTATCTACATCTCTACGAAAAGATCAGAGGCACAAAACTAGAAAGACATGCTAATTTGGAGTCAAAGGTATGCGACAAGGGTGACATCTGTTTTTCCCCTTTTGAGAAATGTATATACATGTCAGGACCAAAAGTTCTGTGTGGTTTTTGTTAGTAGATGTGTCACTGGGTGAATTCAGCATCCAACTGGAAAGTCACCTTTGGAAGTGGGACACAACTGATGGTGAAACCAGGTAGGTAGAAACCCTGAAGGAATAAGGATAGGAAAGCCTAATTCCCTTTTCTGTAAAACAGCTATTTGAATTGCATTGTTCTTTCCTTCTGTGGGCAATTGAAGGTAAAGGCTGACCTCGCTTCAGGGAAAAAAAAATAATTTAAAGCTAAATACCTGTTTGGAGGACTGGACTCTCCTGTATGTGTCATTGAGAGCTAAATGCTTTATTTCATTTGTGAATGTTCAAAATCAGTTTAATGCAGGTTCTGGAGTAATGACTGCAATAATAATTTTCTGAACAGCCTCTATTAATGTTAATTGTCCTCATGAGAAGACAGAGAGTGAGCATCCATCCCAATGGACTGTATGCTGGATGTCTCTTTTTCTCCAAAAAGAATGAGCGAATCACTCAGTTACAGCTTTCTACACCTGGAGAGGGGAGTCCTACCCAAACACTACTTCTCTTCACTACTACATGCTCTCCGAAATCTCCCAGACCTGCAGGGACACTCTGTCCTTTTCTTTCAGTTGCACAGAACCTTGTTCTCATTATTAATTCTCAGAAGCTGTAGTTCTTGTGTCTGCTGGGAACACCATCTTACTTTTTGCTCTGTTACTCCTGCTTCTGGCTACAGACAGGTTTCCATCCAGGTTTTCACTGACAAAAAAAGCTGGGTTGTCTTGGAAAGCGATCTGAACAAGAAGGGTGTGGGTTTTTTGGGGAATCAAGAAAGGCATTTTTAAGATTTGCAATATGTGCAGGAAGGTCCAGGGGGAGAGCTCTGCTTTTAATGGTGATCTAATGCTGAAAGAGGAATTTTGCTTTTAATCCTTGTAGCCTTTCCTTACATGAATGAAGGACAAAACTTGCAGTCAGGGGTCATCTCTGTCAAAACTGAAAAAGTCCATCAACTAAGAATATCTTTAAAGAAAATATAAGTTAAAATTGCCAAGGAATTTACTTGGGTAGACTAAGTTAAAAGAAACGCCAAGCAGGAACTAATAAGTGACTGGCAGAAAAAAAAACGGGTTTTGTTTTGAAGACAAATACCAGGTGAACAGCTATGGAAACAAATTCACCTTCGGAAGTGGAGTGCAACTAAGGGTAAAACCAAGGAAGTTTTAAACCATTTTCTGCTCAATATTGAATAAAAAAAGAAAGATATGTATAAGTTGAAGAAATGTCTACTAAGGTATACCCTTAATTATTCAACTCTGTCAGTCATCTACTTCCTTCCTTTCACAAAAGCAGTATGGATTCCTGAATCCATTTGCTCAGGTACAGATATTTTGTGCCATGGCCATGCAAGAACAAGTACCTATCTCTCTAAGGATGTGGACGAGCTTGTGTTCTTGTTCAGGTGAAAACCACTGTGTGAACTACGGCAAGCTCACACTTAGCAAAGGGACACGACTTCAGGTTTTGCCTAGTAAGTGCCACCACTTACTTGTGGTCTCCTTCCATGTGGGGCAAAGCTGCCCAGCAGGCAGCAGGCTTTCCAGCATCTGCCTTCCTGGGCTTGTGGCTCTTCAGCTGTAGGGTTACATGCCACTTGCTTCCCTCCAGGACAGGCTTTGGCTCAGGGCAGAAGCAACAGTCCCTCAAACAGGGTTTGTACCTGTAGGTCCAGTGCTGCTCTTGATCCCACAGACAGATCAGGGAGGTCTTCCCTTCAGGACATAGATGACTTGGAGTGACATTCGGCACTGTCTAGTTGGGCTGTGGGTGCCCAGTTTTGCCAAGTGATTAGAAAGGATTTTGTTGAGAGGGGAAATGCTGTGTGACCACGGGAGCTGGTGCATATAAACCTGTCTTTGGCTCTGGAATGAGACTCGCTGTTAAGCCATGTAAGCCCAACATTGCTCCTATGCTTTCTGTTTTATCGGAGGCCATTCTTTGTGTGGTTGAGAGCAGCAGCATGGCAAGACGTTTTGTCATTTATGTGTGACCATACCTAGTGATGGACTGCAGGAATGTGACCGCTTTGTCCAAAGTGACCGTTCTTGCTCTTCGTTTGGCTGGGAAGGAGAAAGTGGTCACCTGCCTGCTCCCAAATGTCCCAGCTGCCCCATGGGCAGGCTGTCCTACTCCACTGGATCCCAGTGGGGTTTGAGCTGCAGTAGGCAGCACTGTCACCTTTCTGCTGCCCCTCCTAGCCTAGATAAGTCTTGGCAAAGTCTTGGGGAGAGAGTGGCTTCTAAAATGGCTTGCCCGACTTTTTGTCATGGAAGAAAATGCCATGTGATTTTGGCTACAGCAAACTGACATTTAGCTCAGGGACCAGACTGTCCAGCCCAGTGTGTGTGCATCTTTCCTGTGTGTCTTTTGTCTAAAGTCTTTCAGAGTCCACCAGAGTACCCTGTAGATGTTATATCCGTGTCACCATTCATAAGAGAAGGAAAACTTAGGTGCTATTTCAAGATGCTCTCCTGCTTAGAAGTGTTTCCAGGTGGAGGACTTCTGCTATTAAGGGAAATGTGCTCTGGACATGGTGCTCCAGGTTGCTTTCAGCCTGGATAAAGGGAGGAAAATGAAAGAAGGAACCTAATGTATTTGAGCAGACATCTAGAATCGGAAGGAATTGCCCACCATTGACCCAGTCTGCAGAACTGCAGTAGGTTTTCACTTTAGTGTGAGCATCCCACTTGCCTGGGGTGTAAGTGCAGAGGCTGCCAGTAGACCCTGACTGACGGAGGTGCTGCCAGCTCCATTTCTGTCAAGTGCTCTGCTATTGTGACAACAGCTTCAAGTTCACCTTTGGCTCAGGGACTAAAGTCACCATCTAGCCAAATTAAGTGTGTTCATGCTTGCATGTTGCAATCTCACCTGACAATTATGTCTTAAGGCTGTGCTCCAGCAACAGCACAGGGCAAGGAAACAGGAAAGGAAAGGAAAACAGAACTCTCAGGGAAAGCTTATGTTGTTGCTAAACAAGGAAACCAGTGACAAGAGTGCGCTTTTTCTATTTTCAATAACAAACCAAGACCAACACATTTTGGCAATCTCTCCTGAAGAGTCTCATGAAAGACCGACTGGTATTCTCCAAACAGCCTGGAAAGTCATCTCTGAGGCTTTGCCATTCCCTCCTGTCAGTATTGCAGTTTCCAAGCAAATGGCATCTCCTGTCCAAGGGGCTCATCCCACTCCTCACAAAAGGAGACCAGAGGGGAGTGGAAGAGCAGGCTGAGCCTTGGGTTCTTGTTAGGGTGTGTAGCATTGTGTGAACAGTTACACAGAGAAACTCCAGCTTGGGACTGGGACAGAGCTGCATGTTCTGCCAAGTATGTTGTCTTTTCCTGCTCTTCCACATTATGATGTCTCCTCTTGCTGCATTCCCACTTTTAGTAAACTCAGGACCAAATATAGCAGTCAGAGGTGCAGCTGGAAGATAGGATTTGGTTTTCTGTAGCCTAGGCATGGCTGAGCAAAGTCTTGGGGAGAGGTGCTGCTTCTAAGTGGCTTGCTGGGCTTTTTGTTATGGAAGGAAATGCTGTGTGATTATGGGTCTGGCTTCAACAAGCTGACCTTTGGCTCAGGGACCAGACTGTCCATCCAACCCAGTGAGTGCAGCTCGCCTTTGGTTTTACATATGCCTCTCCTGCAATAGGGGTGCTTTTCTATTAATCTGTTTGTTTTACCTTTGCACACCTGAAATGCCTTCTCTCCCTTCCCATCACAGTCTCTGACAATGTCTGGTGTGTGTGGAGGGATACTGTTGTATCTCATGAATTAGGTATTTCTCTTATCTTTCACTGTTTTTTCCACACACTGTGGTGGGAAAGACAAATGTCAGCCCCTTCTACAGGTGAGTGTTTCTTTGCCTCTAGCTGTGGGGTTGGTGTAAAGCTGGCTGTGGCTCTGGCAACTTGCAGCAGGAGGTCTTGACAAGTTCGCCTTTGGGCATAGAAGCAGAATTTCTGTGAAACCCAGTAAGTAGCTCTGTGTTAACTGGCTTGTTGGCTGAAATCTCGGGGAGGAAGAAGGACCTGGCAGCAGCTCCCCGTGGGAAGAGAGAATGCGCAGCGCATGGGGCAAGGGCTCTTAAACTCTCTCTGCTTACAGCTCATTGCTTCCCCCTGTGAAGGCTTCCAGACAGCTGGGTGTTCATGGCCACTCTGTTTCCTGACAGGGAGTATCCAGCTGCAAGGGGAGAATGTGATAAGCTTCAGTGCTCAGGTGGTACTGGGGAGTGTTGAGGAAAGGCAAGTGGATTTCAGTGTGCCCCAAAGGAGCACTTTTGTGTCCCCAGGCAGTCACTGGGAAGCCACCAGTGCCAACTTTTCACTGGGAAACCACCTGTGCCACCATTCCTGAGGTTACACTCCCTCTTCATAGCTCTCCCTTGGTGTTTGTGGTTGCTGTGAAGCCCTCAAGCTGTAGGCTACTGGATGAACTACAGGCAGAGTGACACAAAACTCACCCTTGGGAAAGGCACAAAACGCTCTGACAATCCCCACCAGTGGTGGTGACTCTTTTCTCATCTGCCCACTGGATGTGTTTCGTGATTGTTTCCACCTGGAGAGGTCAGCGGAGTGTGACTAGAAAGACTAGAAATGCCTATTTGGAGTCAGAGGCATGTGACAAGTGTAAGATCTGTTTTCCCCCTTCATCTCTGTGGGAAATCTGGCACTGTTTTCTGGAGTAGAAATTGCATGTGGTTTTTGTTAGTGGATGTGTCACTGTGTGATTTCAGCGTCCACCTGGAAAGTTGCCTTTGGGAGCAGGACACAACTGAAAGTGAAACCTGGTAGTTAGAAACCCAGCCTGAAGAAGCGACGATAGGAAAGTCACATCCCTCACCTGGAAAAAAAAAAACAGCTGAGCTATGTTAGAAACTGGTCTGCAAAGGGATGGAGTGTATGTGTGTGTGAGAGAGAGAGAGAGAGATGCAGCATCCAGAACCAAGAAAGACTTTTTGAAGGTGTGCAGTGTGTCCAGGAGGGGTCCAGGGGAAGATTCTATGATCTCTGTTCTTAGGGTTACATTTTTAGGGCTGAGTGAGGAGTTGTGATCATAAT